CTTACCCGTGTACCGATAACGCTTAGCGGCAGCTTTAATCGTACTATCCATCGCCTGGTAAGCAGTGGTACCATAAGGATGATACTCTTCATAAGAAATCACAGCACCAGTTTCATCCAACTCCAAACCGGCTGACTGCAAATGATTGCTGTAAATAAACCGTTTAAGCGATACCGGGCTTAGGTCTCCTTCCGTATCCACCGTCTTCACCTCCAGCATAGCAATACGGCCGGCATCATCACTTATATGTACCGTCTTCCGCTCTAATGTCAAAGAACTGCCGACGAACTTACGATATAGCTCATAACTACCCAGGTAGATCCGCTCCTCGGTCACAGCCCCGCTTTTCTCCAGGTATTTACGGATACGCTGACCGCCGCTGTACTGGTAATAAGCCTCCGTAGACCCAGCCGTTAGGTGGTGCAACTGGTTCTCCGCATTCCAGTTCATCATACCCAGGTGTGGCATTTTAGTCATGTTGCCACGCACGTCATGCACATACTCATAGTCGGGCGCACTGCCCACGGTTGTTGTGTGCAGCCGGTTGCTCGCCTGGTTGTAGCCAAACAAACGCGTATAACCACCCACACCCGCATCATGGTGCAATGACAGGATATTACCCACCGCATCATAAGTATAGGTCTGCGTATAGTTTTGTAATGCATTTCCATCAAACGGACTGGCCGCATTGGTCATTAGGGTTGCATCATTATAGTTGTCCTTGCTATTGCCGGTGGTATCTCCTTTTAGCTCCCGGCCCGTGGCTTCAATCAGCCGGTACAAGGCATCATACTTATAGGTCTGTTGCGGCAGGATCATGCTGTTGTCATGGAAGATGGTGGCTTGCGCCTTATCCCGGATCCGCGTGATATTGCCTACCGGATCATACCAGTAATGTAGCTGCTGCACCTTTTTATTATCAGACAGGCGAACGGTGTTAAGACTCGTCAGCCGGTACGTCAGCGGATCATAGCTATAAGCCGTCTTCGTACCATTGCCATACCAGATAGCGGTGCGTTGTCCCCTGGCATCGTAGTGAATATCCTGTACATAAACATCCCCATTTAGCTTTACTGTTTTTAAGGCACCGGCGCGATCATAGATATGTGTGGTTACATTACCACCGGGATCGGTCATTTGTACCGGGCGGCCCAGCGCATCAACAACGGCCGTTGTAATAAAAATCTCCACAGATAAGGCAGGCGGCGTACTCCAGTTAATATCTGTCGCCGTTTTACTTTCTACCAGGCATAAATGCGTCTCTACGGGCATCCCTTTAAAATCATAACCTTCCGGCATCGACTGCTTACCCGCGCTATCATGGTGTTCATAAAGCTGACCACGCAGGTTCTTCGCCGTATCATTGGCCTGGCCTTCGCCATAGATCATTTCTTCCAGCAGCACCGTATCATTCAGCCATTTGCGGATCACCCGGCGCAGCACATCGTATTCCATAAAAAACTTGCGGTCGCTGGCATCCCAGGCGTAGAGCGGTTGTCCGGCCACATCAATAAATATCAGCCCGGTGCCACCGTCAATACTATCCTGCTGGCCCACTTGTTTGAGCAGGTTGTACCGGTATTGTAGCGTCTTTATCAATGGGCTGGTATGAATACGATTACCATCAATAACGGCTAAACGATTGCCCACAATATCCAGTTCCGCATAACTATGGATAGCATCCACAGGCGTCATTACCGAAGCACCCGCTTCCAGGATCTGGATGGTATAAAATGGTCGGGCCAGCGAATCGGTATGAATAACAGTAGGCGTATCATGATGCAAGGCTGCGTCTAATGCTGCCTGCTTGCGGGCCTGTATATCACCGGTTTCCTGCGGGGTAGCGCCGGTGGCGGGCAATGCATCAATGGCTGCCTTCCAGGCACTGCCAATCACGGTATCATTCTGGTCCCAGGTGATCTGTTGCCAGGCGGTCCATTCCGTTTTGCTGAAGGTGCCGTCCGGCATTTCGGTGCGGTACACCCTGCTAAGCGGGTCATAGAACAGCCTGGGGCTCACGCCCAGATTAGCAGCCTGCACAGCGGTATCACAAAGGTGCGTGGTGCTGAAATAAGGCTCAAACTGCATCACTGCATTGCCTT